TTCAAAGAACTGGAAAAGACCGACATGATTACAACAAGACAGTTCTTGCAGAACAAGATAACAAAAGATGTACAGAGTCAATGCATGATTATTATTTCTTTTTCGATTAAAAAAATCTGACTTTTTAAAAAATAAAATTAAAAAATGGTTACCTGGCGGAGGAGAGGGAGAATCTACGGTGAGGTTGTTTATGACGGAGAGAATGCAAATCACCACCGGAGCAATACTCCATAACTATGCAAGAGAAATGTGAAGCTTCAAACTCTGCGTAAAGAGTCGGCAAAAATGGATGGTCAAGCATCTTCAATATCGTTTTCTCCATCTCAGCTCTATGCATCTTCTTCTTCAACGCAAGTGCTTCTTTATCAACTACTTTCATGGCGAAATACGAGCTCTGTTTAACTTCTTCTTCTTTGTCTCCTCCTCCGGCGAGACGGCAGAGATAGACTGTTCCGATGTCTCCGGCGCCGATTCGACGCATCAGACGGAAATCTCGGAAGGTTAAGCCGTGTTTACGCCGTCTTCGGATCTCTGAGTAAGCGAAGTCCGAGGAACGGTGAGGTTTGAGAGAGAGGAAGCTTTCTTCCTCCGGGATGGTAGACGGTGGTGCGTCGAATGATAAACGGCTGAAACTGCTGCAACTCTCTGTTCCGCTGCTAATCGGAGAATTCGTCGTCTCTAAACTCATCTCACCGTCTGATTCCCGTAACATCGCCGGAATATCAAAGCAGAAATGGTAAAAAATTTCGTAGGAAGAAAAATTGGAGTTTGAAAACAGAATCAACAGAGAGATGCTACGGATTCTCTTTGAACGGACATTGATTATTTGGAAGGTTTTTTCGATTTGCAGAGAAGAAAATTAGGGTTTATGATTTCAAGAAGAAGAAGAAGTTGAGAGAGAAAGAGTTGGTGAGGGGTATTTATGCGTGTGAGGTTAGATTAAAGCCGTAACAGTAAAAAGACGTTACTTACAGATTTTTTTATTTTTCAACTGTGGTTAATTAATAAGGAACAAACTTGATTCCACTTTTCAACGCGTGTGAGAGGTAAAAGAGGACTCGGTGACGTAAGCTCTATGACACGTGTGGGACGTTCTCACGTGCCTCAATGTATAGCAGTAGCATTAGCCAGTATTTATTCATCTTCTAATTTACCTTTTTCCTCTAATAGTGTGCAAAACTCCAAATTTGGATTTAAACCATAGAGTCTAATGATTCATTTTGGGCTAAAAATTTTATATTCGTGTTAATTTTGAGTAGTATAGGTTAGACTAACTCAAAGTCCTAATAATATATGGACAATATTAGTTTGTAATTTTTTTTATTTTTGCCACTAAACAATATATTTTGCGGAATGATGATACAAGGATAATAGTTATTAATACAGATTACTCGATTACATGTTGATTAGTTTGTGGTTTCTAATGATTCCACTTTCCAGCATGACTAAATAAGTATATATCATATCGACTAAGGGCACACACACACACCTATTTATAATTAAAGACGATCCAAGGGACCCAACTATGTACTAGGATGTTGTTGGCTTTGTGTGGCTTCATATCATGTTACGTTCCAAGTGTTAGGATTTGAATCCAAAACATTTTTTTTCTATATATATGTTAGGTCCCGGTTTGGTTAGGCCGATTAATACAACTTCGATGACTCGTCTCACTAATTTTTGTTTGAAACAGTTCCACCTCCCAAATTGTATATTGTATTATAAATTGATATTTTGTTGTTTTTATTTGAACTTTCATGATACGGGAGTGGAGCTAGACCTACTCCTCTAAAATATTTGTGGAATGATCAACGAAACAAGATTTTTTTTTCTTTCATCACAACATACTCATAGCAAAATTAACTTACGGTTACAATCCAACGAAAGTTCTTTGCCAAAGAATCCTTTTTTCGATTTTTTGAAATCGTTACATAATGCAAATTTAAAATATAAGTAAAATAGAAGGTTTTTTTTTTTATGAAAAATGAAATGACTGATATGAAGTTGATCTTCAAACTTCAGTCCGACTTGATATCCAAACATAACTCTAGTTTTTCTACCTTTTTAGGCAAACAAACGAATCTTTGGGTTTTTGGTGTTGTCAAAGGCTTTTTTTTTTTTCTCCATAAGTTTATTTGAGACAAATTCTATTCCCGGTTCATATGTACTCTAGAAAACGTGTTAGCTTCATCGATTTCTGAACTGCAGTAGAAAGATGAATCACAGCAGTTAAAAGAATTAGGGATAACACTTGACCATGTTGAATTTAAACGAATGGAAAATAGAGGGGAAACGTAGCTAAAATTTCATGCACAATATTTAA